GATGACATAATTTGATAATGGTAGTATAAATTGTGCAAACTGATGGCAGAGTTAATTGAAACTACTTCTCTTCAGAAACAACACACCAGTTTCTTGAACCTTTAGTGATGTAGTCTTTCAGAATGAATGTCATTTTGTAGCTGTTCTGCTCAGAAATTTTGTTATATTCAACTGTGTTATATATTGTACAATTTAAATATTTTTCTTGCATATTTCTAAAACTAGCATGAGTCCATCAGATAAGAAAGCTTTGAGCATGTTATGTTTTGCCATACATGCAATTAGAGTTCACTGCATATAAAACACACAATAATTTATTGCCACCAAGAAACTTTATTTCATTCCATGGCGTTGTACTATTGAGTCCTTTTCATATTTTTGGACAGGGAGATATAGTGACTTAAGAAATTCACATTTTACATGGAAAACATTTGTCTTTGTGTTACAGAATTCATAAATGTGCTTATGATTGTTAATTGCTGTTCATTTTATTCACAGAACTACAGTCACATGGTCTCTCAAGTGGAAATTACAAAAATCAAAGTTCCTTCCTTTTAGACATAGTGTTTGTGGAACTAATTACTTTGTGTCAAAGTGTCAACCATTCTGGTGAATTCATGTTTTGTGGCATAGGAAAATATTATCTCTTATGGAAACCAAATGGTTTATTTCAGTGTATAAAATTTTCTGATCTTGTATGTGGTATTCTGTGTTTGGAATCATCATAATATGACATACCTTTAAAATGACCCTAAATTAATTGTACATGGCTTCTTTTGGTACATTCTGTTACACTTTTTAGATCCCTCAATGTTTCTTACAGTGGATTGAGTCATACATTCATCTTCAGGCACTTTATCCATTGTCCTACTTCCACAAGACTCAGTGTGACTCCCACTGTTTTATTTTTGCCATTACGTAAAGTTATGTGAGTTGCATCACTGTGATTCACTATTTTGTATTATCTTTCATGAAAACAAATTCTTTTCTTGGGATGGTTCTTTGTTTAACAGTGGATGGATGCAGGATTAATTGCACTTGGTTCTTCTAATAGCACTGAAAAATTATATATCAAATTGTGATTATCTTGACATTCATAGTAGATGATTATTAAATGTGTATGCATAACTGCTTTGTATGTTGCATACATTTAATGTCTCAGCCATTACTGTACTGGTAAATTCTTGGTACATTATTCAGGCCTGATCCTTGTTCAAAGCTGCTGGTAAGCAAAGAGGATAGAGTTGGTAATAATGTGCCATTGGTATTGCTTAGCTGTTAGCAACTAAATATGGACTGGCAGGCCAGTCCTTTTTAATAGATGATATATATCTTATTGATTGTTGTCTAGAATAATATTTGCTTGTAACATATTCACATCTTCATTGTGATTTTACTCTCTAGTATCACTGTATAAGTACATTTGTATTGTACATATATCACGTCACTCACCTAATGCTTGTTTTCTGCCTGTGCTCAGACATGGTATTTTGTGAATGAATGAGGCAGAATATTGGAGCTTATGTGACACTTCTCTATTTTTATACTGTAATTTCTTCCTTATGTCTCAGAGTTAAAGAGAAATGTTTGAAATATTTAGTAAGTGTGTTTTGGATACATATTTGGAAGAAATGTAATACAGCTACTCTTACTGTTGAACAACTAACTAATGTATAGTAATTTTCTTCAAAAATTACTACTTACACAGATAATATTTTTTTGGTACTTTTCATTTTAAAATTAAATGCAAGTCTGATAAATCAGTAATAAAATAGTAATTGAAAAGAACGGAGAAGACATTTCAAATAATAATCTGCTCATCTCTGATGGAAACATATCTTTATCTGAATATTCACATGTTTACTTGGATCACACAATATGACTGATGGCTAGGTGGTGCAATAAACCTTCAGCAATTTAAACGACAGAAGTTACACTGAAAAAATCTTAACATTTTAAATTTAATGGTTGTACTACATTTCTACTTGTATTTTATCTTCTTTCAGTACACAAGTGCAAACTAGTCTGTTTTTTAATGAACTTTAAATACAGTAGTGATCAACTGATGTTTTCTATTTGGAACAGATTTCATTCAGATTTTTGCTTGTAAATGTTATCCTTGTTAAACTTATTCACCCATACATACCATTTATCCTCATGAAAACTTTTGTTTAATTTACACCAATCTAATTTTATCATAAATGGTTCTGAGAAAGTTTGTACTGTCTACAAACGTGAAAAATTGAATAAATATTACATTTCTTCATCAAATTTGTTCTGTCAAGGATGGCCAGCAGTAGAACCATTTCCACCTTTTTTGTGCACTGTGTTTCAATACTTTGTCTTCTTTTGTACATTGCCGTCAGTTTCTTTGAGACTAGACAACATCTCCCTGAATTCATATAATTGTGTAACACAGTGAAGGCTAGAAGGCCTCATTTTCATTTTTGAACATTTTGTCTTCTTCCATATTCTGACAAAAAAGATACGATGTTGGAGTTGGCAGTAACAGAAAATGCAATAAATTCTTTTCAAAAGGTAAGTGGTTAAAAGTGAAAATTATATAATGTTCAGTTCACTAAATTGCAGCAAAGTAATTTTAAATTCACACTTTATATGTATGTAATAAGGCAGAAAGTAATATTTAAATGCAGTGAAGTCTTCTTGGGTCATAGGCCACATAAATATGGAATTACAATTTAATGTTGTGGAGACTGACTCCATCTTCAGGGTTGATGTAATGAATGACAAAACTGCCCATTTTATTTTTACATGATACCTGACTCTTGGAGCCTTGTGTCCTTGTCAGAGCCAATTCTGGGTTCAAATACAATGAACGGTCTTGTCACTCGTTACATTAATCCTGATGATGGAGCAGTTTCAGTCTCCAAAACATTGGATTGTAACTCCGTAATTACATGGCTGATCACCCAAGAAGACTTCATTGCATTCGAATGCCATAAAAGCTTCAAATCTTACATAATATTTAAATGGTTTGCTCTTGTTCAAAGCTTCTGAGAGTCCAATTTTAAAATTGTGTTTGATAAGAACATTTACAAAATTATATTTGTTAAGATATTGATGTCTCATGCTGCTGTTTATAGCTATAAACTTTATATGACAACTCTGATAGAACTTTGGTTACATCATCAATTTTACATTTGTACTAATGATACTGTGTTAATTATGCTTGTTTCTCTGCATTGTTTTGTGCAAATGGTTGACAACCATATTGGATATCTCAGCATTGTGAGACTATAAGTATAAATATCTTGGTTTTTAGAATTAGAAACCAGGATGCATATAACTAAAGTGTTAAAATCTATAAATTTGGTTGGACTGAAAGTGTTTAAATAGTATTTATAATTGTGATGAGATCACAAATGAATATTTGATTATATTTTTTGTAATAACTGTTTTCATTCTATAATTTTTATCCAAAGTTCCCATTTATTGTCTATTTCATTCAAGTGAACACTTTCATTAAAATGAATGACATGTGAAGCAAGCAGAAATGTATTTTGTGTGGTGTGTAGGTGCATAGTGGTCTGCTTTAAGTTTTACCCAATAAATGAAATGTTGATTCATGCTTGGATTAAAGTGGAGTGAAAGATATTTTATATCATAGAATTATATATTCTTGTCTGTACACCAAAATGGTACAACTTAATGTGCAGTATATAATAAGAGAAAAACTTGTTGTAAATATTATCTTCATGCTGTTTTCATTGTCTTCTGTTTATGTTGGTTAAGAGATATACGTATGTATATGAATGACGAACACACAATGTTATATCAGAATGCAGAAATATGGGTGGATTGTATTTGATAATACACTATATAAGAATCTTAAACAAGTCTCATAGTTACTTTATTGTTATGAATATGTTTATTTACTCTGTGCTCATGATCACAATAGCCCTGTGTTAGTTTAGCATTTATTACTATTTTATTTTTCAAGATTATGTAGTGTTATCACAACCTTTTGTGTACAATGTTATATCAGCAATTCATACAAATATTCTTATATTTTAAATGTTATGTTTAACTCTTAACATACACTTCTACAGTTATTGTCCCAGATAAAGAAAATCTTTATTACAGTGATCAGATTTGAAACTGGAGAATAAAAAGAGCTATTTCTGTCTGTTGAGTTGGTTTTTTTAATACCACCATATTGACAGCCTCCATACTTCTTGTGTTCAGTGGTAGATGTCAATGTTTCAAAGATCATACTGCCTTCATCTTCAGCCCATATTTCAGTTGCCTTCAACACAGAGATTTCAGGTTCTTATGGCAGCAAGTATGAAGATCTGTGATGTGCCATGTAGTCTTGTAGAAACAGACCGACATTTCATAAGTGCTTACTGCCTCCATCGTGAGGGTGATGAGACAACATGGCACATCCCTGAAGACTGTCATCATCATGCTTTCAACATTGTAGCCAAGCCCTCTCTGAGGAGCAAACTGTTGCTCAGCCACTCAAGAAATTACCAACATTTTATGTAGCTCGAAGGTTTATTACTGTGGCGTATGCTGAGTCAGATGAATCCAATCCATACTATTTGTAGTTGAATAGCAGGTAATAAGTCCCTGTGATGGAGGAGGTATGGTTCTCCGAAATGTTGGTGTCCACCTACAAGACCACAAACATCGTAATCCTGGAAACCAACATTCCTTCCTTTGAGAATCTCAAATATCATATAAACAAACTACCAAATGAGCTACCGCTGCTGAAATGATAGTTACAGTCCTGCTTTGTGATTGGTCCAGACGATCACGTGGCTTGGGTCATCTGTTGTTAATAATGGAAGTTCTCATAGCAGCAGCAGCAGCAGTAGTGCTATGAATGGTGTGGTGTATGAAGTATATTGTATTGCCGTATATGAGTTGAAGAGGTTAATTAGGCCAACAACTCGATTCCTGAAAGTTGATGGTACGTAATGTGAGTGTTCCTGAAATTTGAAGGTGTTGGAGCATTAGGAAGTTCTTTATGTTCAGTGTTATTATCGAAATAAACGCGTTACTTTTCGCTGTGCGATTGGACTTTTCTCACCTGAAGCAGAAACTAATGATGAAAATAAGATAATTTCTGCTGTTAGACTTTAATTACTAGTTATGTACGGTCTAAGTTCAAAGAGGTACTTCAGGTTTTAGGTTCTCACTTCGGTGACATCACTGTTGGTCGCCAAGTTGTATTGGCATGTGAACTAGGTAGGTATCTACGTTTTGGAGGAATATGCTGCCTACATTTAAAGAGCCGAAGTGGACACGGCATTATGACCTAGAATACCGGCATGTGCATAACTTTGACAAATTTTTTTCAGTATAACGTTCTAGACAAACCAGTGCCTTTCATGTTATATTAAGAAATATGTTATCAGTTGTATGCAGTAATCCATTCCATGCCTTAGTCATTGGTACCACATACTAATTGCTATATGTGTGTGAGCGTATGGGCACAGTGCATTACAGAGAGTGGAATGTTACAGTGATTTAAACTTAACATTGGTTTCTATAAAACTTCCACTATATGTTACTTCCCAGGTGGTGTTATCATGTAATAGAAAATTTCCAGTTGCTGAATGAAGGTAATACCACAGTTCAGAACTGACTTTACTAATATTTCCTCATATGAAATTCAGATTTTGTTGCACAAGCTGACAGTTCTGAGTCACAGGTATGTAGTTCTTCTGATCCTGTGGTTAGTACATTAACATCGCATGGAAAATAAATGGTGCCTCAGTCTAGTGTCCCTAATTTGTTCAGAAATCCTTGTGAAGGTGTGTTAGCCAGTCTGCCTGATCATGTCTTCATACAGGAGTTGGAGGTTTTGTGCAGGGAGTTGACCTTTTATCATTGGAAGTTGAAATATTATTTTACCGTTACTTTGATGATGGTATAGAATCAAGTTTTGAATTATCAGACATTTGCCGAATCTTTGGAAGGGCTTTAACAAATGATTTATCTTATACCTGAAAGTCATGCTATACATTAGATACTGGCCATGGAAACCTAAGGGCAAGACATATAGATTTGATTCTTCACAGATAAGGTCAAAGACTAATAATAGTTCTTGAGTGAATATGGAGCCGTATTGTTGTATGTGATGTATTTGTTATTTATGTTGGACTATTTGTTTTTTCAAAAGATCTTCATTTTGGGCTTGGAGGCCAGTCCTCGATATACAGAATGACAGTTACAAATTTACAAAGGACCATGAAGGAAAATCCAAAGGCAGCTAACTTGTTGCCAGTGTTAATATGTGCTGTTGCTCTTCCTCTCTCCATGACCATGTGGATTGGAAATCTTGCCTTTTCATTTTTTGCAGGTGGTGAAAATTCAATTCATCATGAAGGTAAGAATTTATTTTATTCATTTATTTTTGTTATTATAATTATTAGGTATTGTTATAGTATTGTATGCATTATATAACTTTTGCATTACTGTAATGAAACTAGTTGTTTATAGTAAGTCATATGAAAGAAATTGGCTAGTTTCATGTGTAGGGTTTAGTAGGTTTATTTCATCATATAAAAATTGTCAGACACACCTGTTCTTGGCAATCTGCATACCCTTTTCTGAATGGTTAAGCCATTGCCAAATGGCTGGTTATACATTTAAATGCCACAAAAACAAGACAACAGGAATGTAGTGGTGGTCATTATAATAACCACTGAGACTTTTTCACAAAACTAAACTTTTTCATTTGAAAAGATCAGTTTAAACCTAAATTTGTCTAATAATTTTGATAAAGTTGTTTAATTAAATTGATATGTTTCCATGGACATTCTCCTTCTTCAGTTAGTGTAAAAACACACAATGTTTTTGAAGCTAGTTCTGCTACTGTCATCAGATGAAACTATAGAACCTAATTAGTTAGGATTTAGATTAGTTTTTCTCATAGCTGATTATTTTGTATTGTTTCACCAGTTGGCAGAGAAGCAGGTCCAGCCACTAAAGGTTGTGTGCTTTTAAATTAATAGACAAAGGAAAAGAATATGCATCAGTTTAAACCTGAATGTAATACCCTTACCCAAATTCAGCAGCCATATTACCAAAATTAACATTTGAGGATGTATGACCATGAGTGTAATGAATCTCAGATGGCAGTTTCATTGTTGCACTTGGCAACAAACAAATTAAAAACTAAGTTCAGCTACCAGTACATTATAATGTAGCACTTAAGTGTTTCACTCATGGTAGTACCTGATTCTAATTCTTGCCAGAAGCATGTTATTCTGACAGGTGTTAATGGGTTTCCTCAGTGTTTATAGGCAGATATTCTCCTGGTTTATTGAAATATGCCATGACTGCTTCATTTCAGTAGTACTAAGTGTACATATACTTTATGGCATGTTGTATGTTGATGTTGCTCTTCTGGGTTGCAACACCTTGGACTTACAAGTACTTACATATGTTTGAAGGAACATATTCTCTACATTTTTAGGGTAGAATGTTTCTTCAAAATATTTGTATCTTCCTGCAAGTCCATAGGATGTAACAACCCAGAAAATGAATATTGGCTTCTTGACTGTCATGAGGACCTCAAATCTCTTGTATGTTATTTGCTTGCAGATGGTTTTGTAATTCCTCCAACAAGATGGTTTATTTCATTAGTAACTCCACTTGCAATAGCAGCATGGGGCATTCGCAAGAACAGTTTAGTCGTATCTGGCGCTGTCCTTGGTAAGAATCCCAGCGGACAAAACCTTTTCTCTCTCAGGACATGACAGCTTTAGTAAATCATTTAACTGTAATAATGTCCAATGTACATGCTGTATCTGAAAGTTAATAAAACTGAATTCTTATATCTACTTTTATTTTAGTGTTCATATTTATTTGCTTGCTATAATCATTGTTTCAGGTTTCTTTGTTGGATTTATACTGACACTGACAAGTTACTCATTTCTCATGTGTCTCATGACATTTTTTGTGACATCATCCAAACTTACAAAGTTCCGAAGTGAGCAGAAACGGAGCACAGACGAAGACTTCAAGGAAGGTAAACATATAATATACCTTCTTACTAATGAGAAAGATGGGAAAATGTTCTCATGTATAATGATTTTTTAATGTCAAAGCAGCTTTTTATTAAAAGTTATGGATTTTAAGTTGTGAGTCAGTTGGAATGAGGCAAGATTTTTAATTTGTGAATTAATCTTATTTTATGTAATTTATTTTCATTTTGAGACATTTAAGCCTGACTGTACCCACCTGTGTTAGTGGAACAGCAGAATAAAATGTTAACAATGTTGAACATAATAATTAATTTGTTATAAATTTCAGTTTACTGAATATAAATTGACAGATATTTGTTATTAACACATTCATTACTTAGTTGCTAGTTGAATTTGAAAATTCTATGATTATGTTCACATAAAAGATGGTAACAACCCCCCCCCCCAAAAAAAAAAAAAAAATGTAGCATTTGTAAATGAAGCTGTGCTGAATCAATTTTTTTTTTAATATTGGTTAATTTGCAAAGTAAATGCTGCCATTTTTAAGTCACATTCTTTTCTACAAGTAAAATTCTAGAATGTTCATTTGGAGGTTTTAGATATTTAGGACTAATTAACACTAGCTAGATGCTTTTTATGTGAATTTCTTTACATGTGATGTTTTGTCATTTGTTTGAAATTTATTTACAATATTTATAATTGTATGATTTTTTTATTTTTAATCTGAATAGGTGGGCAGAGGTCATGGGTTCAGGTGCTGAGTAATGGTGGCATGGCGACACAGTTAGCTTTCTTGTACATGCTAGATTCAGGCTGTGGGGAGCGACCAATAAACTTCATCAAAGATTACCGGGCTTCCTGGTTGGGTCTTGGAGTTTTGGGTAAGTTTCGATATAATTGATGCTTTCATAACATGGCACAAGTGCTGGAATTGATGTTTTGAAATTTTCTTATAGGACAATTCTGTGAATGGTGGTAATATAGATTTGTACATATTACACAAGTACTACTAAGAAATTTTATGTGTTATGAATGTCCTTAACCAGTCTATATCAAGTACTGTGAAAATAAGATTTCCGTCTTCTGGGTTATTGCACTGTGTAGTCTGGTCGATGTTAACCAACGTTTCAGAGGTCATACTGCCTCCGTCATCATCGCCCTGATGACGGAGGCAGTATGACCTGTGAAACGTTGGTTAACATCAACCAGACTACACAGTGCAACAACCCAGAAGACGGAAATCTTCATACTCACCGCCGTGAGAACCTCAAGTCTTACACTGTGAAAATAATTATAATACAGAACTGATAACATTAAAAGTAACAGAAACCACACAGAAGATGACATTAGCTATGCCAAAACCTATTCCATCTTATGTCTCAGAGTATATGAATGTGGCACATTGGCAAAATATTTATCTCATTAAGATGTGTAACTTATCTGAAACATTTGTCAGTTGATGTATATATAATAGAATAAATTATATTTATCGTTTGAGAATTAAATATAATGTTATAAATATGAGAGTTTTTGTGCCAATGCAAAATGTCTGATAATGCTCATAGTAATGTTGTTCAATTTAATTTGGAAATTTCTTATGTTTGAATGATTTAATTTCACCTTTTTCTGAATTTGTTTTTTGAAGCTGCAACTTATTGGTCTGATATGTTTTCTCATATTTGATGTCAGCAGCAATGCAAATTCTTTCGGATTTGCACCATAATGTAATGCTGTGTTCTACGTAGTTGCTTTGTGCTGTGAATGATGCTGAAATTTGTAAAATTAAAATTTTAAAATAGAAATTAACATGCTGAGTATTTCTTAGAGAATGTATTTGTAATGCAAAATGTTTTGTGAATGTCAGTTTGCATCTGTGAGAATTTTGTGAACTTTATGTGGAGACTTAAGTTGGATATTTTGTTCATTTTGAAGAAAATTATGGGTACATAGACCACTGGTTAAAGATTGAGCAGGTCTTTTTATTCATTTGAAGCCAAGTAAGTTTTTATGATTCTAGGTGCATTAGCATGCAGTAATGGTGACACCTGGGCTTCAGAATTGGGGACTGTCATTGGTCGAGCGGAACCATTCCTTATAACAAGCAGGCAGAGGGTCCCTAGAGGTAAGCACATGTGATTCTGTAAAGTTTTCTTAGCACTTTGGAAATGGTTTTAATGCCACATGTATAATTTTACATCAAACCCCCTCACAAGTCTGGGTCCCTGTGTGTTTTTGTTGTTGTCGTGAGATGTTAACCATTTGCCCAACCACCAAGCTTGAGAATCACCTAATGTCATTTGTCTGCTACTGTGTGTTCATTATGTTTGCAGCTTCCCTCCATATATGATTTCTTTTTCCTTTGTTCACAACACAAATGTGCATCATGTTGTGGCATTAATTGTTAAAAAAACTATTGTGAAAAACTAAGTTTATCATCCACCTCTGTTTCTTGCTGTTCCAGGTACTAATGGAGGTGTAACCATTGCTGGTCTCTTCTTCAGTTTATTGGGTGGAACTGTTGTCGGTCTGTCGTACTATTTGTCTGTTCTGTACTTTGTTGATTCAACTGTTCTGGCAGCCAGTCCTCCACAGTGGCCACTAGTGTTTGCAGGATCATTTGCTGGTCTTGTTGGAAGCCTAGTGGATTCAGTCCTTGGAGCAACACTCCAGTATTCAGGCAAGTGTTCTGTATCTATACAGATTTTACATATGAATTTTAATGGAGTGTATTTATGCTTCAGACACATACACACACTCAGAAAAGAGGCTGAAGGAAGAACTTTAATATATGGCGAGTTGGCGTCGTTGCTCCGAAATGTAGTGCAGCGGCCGGCTGCCCAACTGTGAATTATTACCTCTTAACTTACTATTTTGTTTGTCCTGTAAGTGAGGGTGGATTTTTTTTAAGAAGAATAAGTAAAAATAATGATTTGAATTACATAAGGAAACTTGTGTACATTACTTACTACTTTTTTTATTATCACTTAACACAGTTAAAGATTTGAAACAGTGGCATTGTAAATTTTTCCTAAGTGATATTTTATAGTGTATGAAACTGTTTGAATATATGTATAGTACCATAAATAAAGGTTAATGATAGAAGGAAAGTATCGTTAAGAAAGAAGAAAAGAGGTGAGGATTATTGTTGCTACTGTGACTGCGGTTAGGGTTTTACCATCCTGGTGTCTGTCCTGAAGGTAAAAGTATATGTTTATGAGGACAGAGTACCCATGAAGCAAGTACTGTACTTGTCTGGAAACACAGTTGTTTTGTTTCAGGTTTAGATGAACGGACTGGCTGTGTGGTGGAGCATGCTGGGAAGGGCATTCGCTACATCAGTGGGGTACAGATTCTGGATAACAACAGTGTCAACCTCATCACAACAATTGTGATGGGCCTCTTGACGCCTCGTATTGCTAACATGTTATGGCCTTGATAGTTGAGAATATTATTTGAATATGGTTCCTGCTGTTTCTTTCCTATCTAAAGACAGAATAATATCTCCCTTTTCTTAGAGATTTAATGATATATTGGCATCTATTTTGAGATTCAGAGCAGGGGGTGGTTGTGGGAGAACATTTGGGTTTATCACATCAGGCCATTAAAAATATTGACAGTGGACATAATAATAACTGAAAAGTGAGGAGGAATTTATATGTGAGATTCAGAGTTCTTGTGGCTGTGGAGATGCGTTGGTTCTGGCACCATGCAGTCTTGTAGGTGGTTTACAGTGTTTCTGAAGAATGTGTCCACACTGACTTACTGATGATCTGGTCCATGGATCTTTTTTTTTTTGGTCAGAATAATAGTGTCCTGTAGCTGGATGTGATTGCCTGGTGCTTGCTACTTCTCAGTTCAAAATATTTTGTCTTCCCATCTGAATTCTAAGAACCTGAAAATTAAAGTATACAAAACAATAATTTTGCCTGTTGTCTTGTATGGGTGCAAAACATGGTCTCTCACTCTGAGGGAGGAACATAAATTGCAGGTGTTTGAGAATAGGGTGTTGAGGAGGATATTTGGGCCTAGGAGAGAAGACGATGGGGTCTGGAGAAAACTACATAATGACAAACTTAAAAATTTATACTCCTCCCCAAATATTGTCAGGGTGTAAGTCGAGAAGAATGAGATGGGCAGGGCTTGTAGCGCACATGGATGGGACAAGAAGTGTGCACCGGATATTGGTTGGGAACCCTGAGGGGAAGAGACCGCTGGGGAGACCTAGACGTAGATGGGAGGATAATGTCAGGCGCGAGCTGTGGGAGATAGGAGTTGAAGGAGACTGAATTTTGTTGGCCCAGGACAGGAACCAGTGGAGGGCTTTGGTTGATTCGGTGATGAACCTTCAGGTTTGTGAATATTTCTGATCTTCCTAATAGTAATCATGGTTAGCAGTTTACATTTCAGCTAAGGAGTAAGGCTTTAGCTAAATGATGACCATTTTTAAGTAATGTTACAGGTACTTATTTATATACATATATTATGTGTTTGTTAAGTTTGTTATGTTACATGTGGTAGAAGTGAAATATCAACTTTCTTATTCCTAATTGTTGTGTTCTCTTAATATATTACTAGTATTATATATTGTTCATAAAAAATGTAGAAGTGCCTGTGCTGGATAAATCTATACACACACATAAATGCTCTCAGTATAGTCACATACAGCCGGGCTCTAGTGGTAAAGGTGAAGCCCTTGGATTTTGCTTGAAGTTAAATATTCAAACCTCAATATTGTGTACAGAACAGTGTTCATGTTAACCGTGTTGCTAGCTGTGTTAGCCCAGCTAACACCTTAAAAAGTTAAAAATAAAGTATTCTACGAAATCTTACAAAAAACAAAAACCTCGAAGTGTAGAAATGAAGTTGATTTCTGTAAAGATTTTATTCTCCAGCCAGTTAGGCAATTGCTGTGAGTGTAATTCTGAATTAGTTGGCTAATAATTTAATTCAATTCTTTATTATTAGTGTGTCATACTATATGGCGTCAGTATTTAATTTTATACAGTATGTGCCATTTAAAGCTCAACTCCAAAACAATCGTGTACTGCGGTGCAAAAATTAAATCAGAAACACCTGCTCTCCCATGTAACAGATTTTCCCACCTTCCCCCCTGATTCGTATTCACCAGGATTGCTAGGTCTCTGCTTACGCCAGTTGCGCAAAAGCTGTGTAGGTGCGAACATAGTGTATTCACGATCGGAACGTTTGTTTATTATAGAACATTGTTTTGTTACAACATAGTTTGCTGATGTTCGTGAAGCATTTAACTGTGTGTGTTTTGACGAGGAAGTGCCGAATAAGACTATATACCGATCGGTAATAAAGTTTCGGGTAACAGGAAGTGTTTGTGACGAGTGGCGGGCGACGTAACTACTGTAATTTCGGTCGTACCGATTTCAAATAGTGCTTCAGCTGTGGGATGCAGCTGCAAGAATTAAGTATTACCTTGGTTTCTTTTGTGCTGAAGGGAGTTCGTGTGCAGTAGGATTACGTTTTACACGGATTTTAAACCTGCGTTAGTAACGGTATTGGCATACCTGGTTCATATTGAGTTTCACAAATATTGGTTAGTTTCTATCTGTAAAGCTGACAATTGCGGTTGAATGGGGACAGCCGACACACTAATGAAGATAAAAGTGAACTCGATGAGGTGTTAAGACTATCCAAAATAATTGTTGTTACATAGCACGAATACTTTTTTGCTACTGAGCCGATTGATCTGACGTGGCAGGTATAAGATCCCGTACTCGTGTCCATACTTTCGGTCAACAGATGCCAGCACATGGCAGTCGATTAAATTCTAAGTCAAAATTGTAACAATCGTTTTCGTGTTCTGTTTCGTCTCGATGTTGACGCCTGTGTTCGCTAGAGTGGCGGCATGACAAAGTTAGTGAAGAAGCGAATCGTACTCAGATAAGCGATTTATTTAATCGTTAGTGAACTAATCGAAGATGAAAAAAAAACAGTCACAGTGACGGATAATGTGATGCTAGTGAAATAATCCTAATAGATTCTAAAGCAAACGGAAACAACATTGATTGACAGTAGGTCGAGGCCCATTTTAAGAAATATCTGACCAGAAACATTCTCAGTGTAATGACATTACAAATGAATTAGTTTAAATTAATTTATATCTTAAACAGTTTTATATGTGGAGTGGTCAGTTCCGTGGCTTTCTTAATTATTAATTTAACTTAAAATTATTGAAGGCATAAATAAGGAAGACATTACTAAAATTTGCATATTTCAAGACACAAACTTCGAAATTTACATTTTTGCTAGGCCTCTGTTGTCCAGAAGTGAATTTGTGATGTGCAGTGTGTTTCTCCAGGGTCTTTGGAATTCTTGTCAAGACTTTGTAGTGCTCATATTTCAAGAGTATGGTGAGTACAGTCTTTGAACTATGTATAAGTAGGCATAAGTGACTATTGTTAATGGTTTATTAAAATGAAAATTTAAATTGTGGAAAATCATGTGATTATGTAATTATCCAAAGAAATTACATCAAACATTCCACAATATGAATAAAATATGTAAACAGGAACGTTTCAAAACATACAAATATCTTGCGTCCGGGATTACTTCTATCCATCTAATTCTCCGACTATTTTAGATAAAATCGTATGTGCAATGAGGGTAGGCCTTAAGGTGAAGTGGTTCTTTGTCGATTCCCGGTTGTTCTAGCAACTGTTAACTGAACAGCTTATATGGCATTGAATGATGTGGGAAGATCATAAAAGGTGAAATTTAATTTTCCCATGGAGGCATGTATGAAAATGACTTTTGGGATTCTATACCGGTAGACGTTTATCGACGTTTCAGAGCTGCTGCCGCCATCATAAAACTTCTATCATCATCGCTCTGATGATGGAAGTATCGAGCCCCTCTGAATAATCGATAAACTTCTGCCGTACTACATGGCTCGACATTCCATAAGACACCCATCTTCATGATCATAAAAATTGCAGGTAAGGGTGTGGAAGAGTCAATTTATGACCTATTTCGAGGCATTATTCCGGTATTCGAAAGGATTGATTAAAGAAATACACTAGGAACCTCAGCATAGCCAGAAACTCGACCGAAATTTCGTATAACGTTTCATGGCCCCCTCACTCATTCATCATGTTGAATGAACGACTGCTGTTTAGAGGCATACACACAAAAGGTTTTCAGTTAGACTAACACGTGTTTGTCACTCCGGCCTATAACAACGACCATCTGTTTACATGTCACAGTTTTACCTTCACATTTTTAAATAGGCGTATGGCGTAGTTAGTTCTTGTAAAATACAAAAAGAACTGGGAGTAATTTTAGGGCACCATATCCAACGACGCTGTATGAGCCGGGATAGCTCAGTCAGTATAGTGACTAGCTATGGGCTGGAAGACCGGGGTTCGATCCCCGACGGGGGCAGAGGATTTTTCCTCTAGCCTCTGCGTCCAGACCGGCTCTGGGGCCCACCCAGCCTCCTCTACAATGGGT